CTACCTCTCTCTCTCTCTCTCTCTCTCTCTCACACACACACACACACACACACACACACACAAAGATCAAACTATTTTATAGAGGCACACCTTATGAGATGGAAGGTATCACTCAGCCATTGCTTCCCTTCTCTTAATTCGTCACGGCTCATTCTTGGAATAGAGTCGCCATATCTATGCATCAATAGAGAGACAAATAGGTCAAGCCATCATTATAGGTTCAAAAGAAACACAAACTATGAAAGAAATGCATTTTTTTTTCTTGTTTGTATATCATGCTTTATATCGTAAACATAGATGGTCTGGCCATGTGTGGCATCGACCTAGAACAACACCGGTTAAGAGGGGAAACTTGGTTCAATTGGAAGACTCTACAAGGACAAAGGGAAGACCCAAAAGGACATGGATGGAAGTAGTCAGCAGAGATATAGTGACGTTATTGGGGTTTGTGGCTTTTAACGGTCTAACAAAATTTTTATAATAATTTGTGCACTTCAATGGGAGTGTATTGTGCCTGACTAACCTAGGGTTGGGCAGTTTATGGTCCGGATCATGTCCAAAACCCTTACCCCTAGGACGTGGTACTATTGTTGAGGGTTTATGTGGGTCATCCCTTGTTGACGTTGGAGAAATACCCAGAGACAATGTTTTGCCAAGCCAAGAAAGCTATGTGGTCTCATGTGTGCGGAGGAAAGGTCCTGTAAGAGCGAGGGTCAAATCCTCAACAAAACTTCTGCACAGTATGTATAAATAACAACTGCATTTTTTGGGAAGCCACCCTATATAGAGGGACACTTGTATATGTATATAGAAAGAGAGCCCCTTGCATTGTGTGCATTTGACTTGCTCTTAGGGAGAACCTGTAGTCCATGTACTAGGATTATGGTTCCACTATTTATAGGCTAACTTTGATGGGCCAATCGTGAGTGGATCATAAGTTCCACTGGGCTAATTTAAAAAGACAGTAGTGGATCGTGGATCGTGGATCGTGGATCCTAACACAAGTGGAGTGCCCTGATATTGGCTTGGTTTTTACCTATTAGATACCTATCCACTTCTAGGTTGTATTTCTGTGTGTTTTAGATTTTTATGAAACTCCAGAAATATTGATTTCAACTAAAACTATGTTTCTATGATTTTTGGGAATTTTTCAGATTTTTAAAACGAATTTTAAATGTGTAAAACCCCCCAAGATTATTGTTGTAATTTTTATGATGGGTATTTACGGAATTTTGGATTTTTTGTATCTGAAATTTGTGTGGGACCCACATAGGGGGCTAATGGCCCAGTCCCACATGTGTGGGACCCACATGGGGCTTCATGTGGGGCCCACTATGGACCACACGTCCCACTTAATGGGCCGCCCACACTATTCTCTCTTTCCATCTGTCTCTCTCCCTCCCGAGCTATCTCTCTCTGAGTTCTCTCCCTTGCCCCTCACTTTCCTCTCTCTAATAAGTGGCACGCCACCCCCCAGAAGTGTTGGGGTGGCACGCACCACTATAGAAGGCCTAAGGAGAGGGCCATGCCCAAACCTAGGGTTAGTATTTGAGCATATGGCCTGCCCTAGTTTTAGAGGGTCTTCTTCAGTGTTCCAAAAAATGTCGGGTGGCGCCTAGGCAGACAGGTTGGGGGGTCCTGGCTGCTCAACTCCTAGGAGGGTGCCTAGGAGGCCACCACCAAAGTTTTTGGGCGGCATAGGTGGAATAAGAAGGGTAGGAGGTGTCTTATCCAATTGTTTTAGGTCCAAATTCGCTGTAAAAATTAAAAGAGGCATAACACATTAAGAATGCATAACATATACTCCATCCATAGTCCATAGTCCACAGCCAATACACTTCATACCATTAGTCTATAGTCTATACTCCATAATCCATACACAGTAAAAAAATACACATTGAGGTGAGGTCCAAAGCAGTGGTTTAAAAAACGGATCGGTGCCCCGGATCGGGCACCCCAAAAACCCATCCAAACCGGTGAATCGGCATTTCGGATAGGAAATCGGGCGGAATCAGTAATTTTTGTCTCAAAAATCTTTAAAAAATCACTATAAATCTCTAAAAATAATGTTATTTTAATTTGTAAATGAATTTAAGAGTGGTGCGTAATGCATTTTCATTACTTTGTAAAAATAGGTGATTATTGAAACACAGTTTTTCTATCTGGATGTTTGTATAATTAAAATAAATAAATTAATAAATAAAATATAAGACTTAGTTATCATTGTAATAAGTATAATTATTAATTACAACATTATAATAAACGTGATTCAAAAAACAAGGGTATGACCCTCACAAATAAATAAATCTAATATACAACAATTAGTTTGGATAGAAATATAGAATTTAGAAATATAAATTCACTAGAAGATTAAAAAAATTAATTTCCCACATAAATTAGTATCACATCAAAGTATCAAACATTTATTAATTTGTTTTACTTATCCAAAATTATTACAACTTAACTAACTATAATAATATATATGGAAATTGAGGTTGTTAGTTTATAACTTTCATATTTTATAATTATTTTACTATACAAATAAAAATATGAAATGTCTTATATATCATCTAATTTAAAAAATCTTATTTACAATTATAAGGAAAAACAATATATTATAAAATTTATAATATAAATAAATTAATAAATAATATAAAAGATTTGGTTATTAATTAATTAAAAATATATATATATTTGCAATGTGGGATAATTGATAAAGCAACTTGAAATAAATTCTAAAGTGGTATGAGTTTGTGTTATTTTTCTATCTTAAAATATCCTCTAAACTTCTTTTTTTTTTAATATCAAATAGACTAGAAATGGTATTATTATTATTTTTATTTTTATTATCCTAAGCTAGTACTAATTTTTAATCCTAATTAACTAATTAATTATTTATTACTCATATAATGAAATAATGGCATGATATAATAGCTTAATAGAGTTTTTATGTTTTTTTGGTATGTAAATTTAAATTTTTTTGGTAAGTAAATTTAAATTTTTTTGGTGAAAGATAGGGGTGATGGGCACCCAATTATTATTTTTAATACGCTTTTTCTTTTTTTGCATCAAATTTCATTGCCACAATCGGACATACAACTTTCTTATTCATGACAGATATACACCATCACGCGTACACCATCTCACTGCAATTTATCCCAAGCTAATAATATTTGCCAGCCTTTTTTCAACTCACAGATATATCCCACATCGAAGCAATGTGAGAAGAATGAATGCTATAAAAGAACCCAACGATCTAACTACATTGAATGTTGTTTTGGCCATGTGAAGCGTGCGTATTGCACGCTGAAGCTTTTTAAGCTCGCAACGCCAGCTGGCATGAAGGAAGGATTGTCAATCATGTGTAGGGAGGAAGGTGAAGTGCCAGCTGGCATGAAGGAAGGAAGGATTGTCAATCACATGTAGGGGGGAAAGGGGAAGCACTTCACGTGTGAAGAAAATTGTCAATCACATTTCAAAAAAACCAAGGTGCAAAAAAAGAAAGCCGGATTGAAAAATAAAAAAGTAGGAACCGCACGGTTTTACCGATACTGGATTTGGAGCGGTATCACCGATACCCGATCCGGATCGCCCGATTCCGGATCGGATCGGCGATTTTTGAAACACTGGTCCAATGTATTTGAGATTTGGAGAATTATTTAATAACACATTAAGCAAAATAGGAAAACATAACCAACATTAACAACTTTCATATTCAGTAATCAACTCACCATCAGGAAAAGGAAAGAAAGTCCACAATCTACACACACACCATGACTCATACTCCACAGTCCATACATACACATAAGAGGGAAAAATAAAAGAAAAGAAATATAGAGTCTTCAGTCGTGATCAAAAAAAAGTAGGGTCAACTACATCGTATGCATCAGAGTCCAGTCCATCATCATTAGAATCATCTCCCTCCTCAACATAATAGTCGTCCACTTTTGTTTCTCTAAAATGTCACACCACCACCACCACCTCCCTTTGCCTTTTTACCCCCTTAATTTTGGGGGAAAAAAAAACGAGATGAAAATGCCCTAGGCCGGCACAAGCCGTAGGCACCCTGCCTAGGGACCTCCCACCTAGGCAGGCAGGCGCCTAGGCATAGGCTAGCCCCAAATAAAATTCAGTAAGGGCAGCCCAAGGCTGCTTCCAAGTTTCTAATCGGTGAGTTCAACTAGAAATGGAATTATAAGTGCGCTATCAGTTAGGTAATCGGCTGTGGAGTGTGCTAAGCCCTAGTGGGGTAACCCTAGGCAAAGGCCAATCAGCCTTTCCTCATTTCTTTAATTTTATTTGTTGTCATATTTGTTTTATTTTGCTTCCTAAAGTCTTAGTATAGTATTTAGTTTGAATAAAAGATTGTGTTTGGCAGTAAGTTTTAAAGATCCTAGACTATTGTAGGGTTGATTTTATTGCATATGTGGCACCTATAAGTAGAATTTCCAGCAATTAATAAAAGAAAGGAAAAAAAAATTGAATATATAGCTTGGAATTCTACATAGCCACCTTTCAGACTTATAGTCTGACTGAGGGTACAACCCTTAATAGAGCAGAGGCGGAAAAGGATTCTTGTACCTGACTAGAAATAGTTGGGATAAGGTCCTCGGATAATGATAATGATGATGATGCTTATATTGTATATTATTAAATAAAGACTACAATATCAGATAAAGCACGATTAAAATTTTCGAAATCATGAACATAACAAATAGATTTTAATTGCATATCAGGAAAGAAGTGGTACGCTATGCTACTTTATCAGAAAAGTTGGAATAACATGGAATATTTTCCTCAGCCATGTTTATAGGAAGTTGATGTGAGCTCCCCAGATACCAAACCCAATAATAGCATCGGTTATATTAATAAAACAATAACGTTTTTGCTAGTTAAGGAACATTTTGATAATTGCCCCTTTATGCAATGGCCCTACAAGTTTATCCAAGACAATGAGGTAGACCTGTTCTCCCAAATATTTAGTGTTAAACCACTATAATTATCCTAGCATGTCTATAAAATATCAAAGAGACCTTCATCACTCCTTTGTATTCCATAATGATAATTCCATAATTGTTAGAAAAGGCAGTGAGAAAGCCACAAGACTCAGCGTTCCATTTCTGGCAAAAACAAAAAGCACGTGTTCCAACCAGCATCAGTAGCGGGGGCCTCTATACATATTGTACACCAATGAATGGGTAGTGTTTTAGCATCTTTAACTCCAGAAAAAAAATTTATAATCCATGAGCAAACTCTCAAAAGAAATTTTCAAATAACACAAGAAAATAATATCAGTTAAAGGAAGGGTTTAAGGCATATTTACCAAGAAGAAAGAATTAACACGTCCTAGAATACTGTTTTGCAATCATTTGATGAAGTATAGTGATAAAAATGAATGACTACAGACTAAAATTATGGCATGAATAAATGAATGAGAAAAACATAAAGAACATCTTTGGTTTACCTAGAATTTTCGAAGAATGGTTTCTTAATGTGTTTCTCCAAGAGTTTCCTTGCATGCTCCCGAACCTGATAAGAGAAACCATATGACAAACAATAAATAAGATGAAACTAATCAATTAGTTTATAAAATGTCATTCTCAGATTTCTTAGCACTTAGTTACTCACCTTGTTCTCCATTGAACAAAGTGCAAATGTCCAACCTTCGCGTGCATTGATATTGCATATGAGAGCATCAATCCATTCACTCTTCCCCGAATTAGGAACCCCAGTCACTATGGTTAATTCTCCAGGGACAACCTGCCCAAAATAGATATAATGTAAATAAGCCAAGAAGAGAAATATGAGTTAGTCTGCTGTCAAAAGTATTCCATATGCTAATAAGCAAAAGTTGGGATGTCATATGCCAACCTCAATACAGAGTGCATGAAACAATAAAATGATAAACGTTATGACAATTAGTGAATAAGACACCATAATAAATAATAGCATGTCTGTTCAATCAATGATCAATGTCATAGTGATACATAACTAACAATGAGATAGAGTTGGTCCAAAGTGATTCAAAATTTTCCTCATGGTTTTCATTCAAGAAAACAAAATCAGAACAGCTCAATATCTCACATTTTTAGCTATCATGAATCTCTCACCATTACTGCTCATTTACCATTTGTTTCTAAATCACCCTTGGTTTCACAAAATGACCCAATGCCAAAAAACACCTGAAAACTGATAAAACTATTTGGTATTCCTCAAGTTTGACAACAACATTGACACAAAGTCACCGGACCTTTCCACTTTTAGCATTGTGTATTGCATTCCAAGGTTTGACTTTGTTCTACAGAATCTCACAAATAAGCATTTGCATAATTGTTTCATATTAGAAACTTCACGAATTTAGTTTGTCTCTGATGTAAACAAAGACGACACTTCGAAGAGATGCTCAGATATTTTGACAGTTACTTAAGACAGTAGTTCACTTGGTACATTGGTTCAGTAAGGCTTCAACTTCTATCAGAAAGATGCATCCATAAGGCCGCATTTCCCATATAAGTAAGGCTTAAACCATCTAAGGCACATTCTTCTCTCCTACTCAACCCCTGCTGATCATGGAGATGCAACACAAGCAGAAGATCGAGCTCTTTTAGGGAAACTCCAAAACTTCAACAGAAGGTGAGCAATCAGCTTATCAGGGGAGATACAGTGAATGTTATCACATGGTCGACCAAATAGGATCCAAGGCCTTGGAGACCTAAACCAAGCGCTTGACAAAATCCCAACCTTTGCTCCAGCATCAACACTGCTTCCATCACACATGGAGAACAGCGAATATCCTTTGCTGAGAGACCTAGCTAAAGATGGGACTTCTTGCCCATTTACCTGCATTATCCTCTACATTTCGTCATTTCCCAAACAGTGTAGGCAGAATGTTTCCCACCACAGATTTTGTACATACTGCTATTACTTTCAGCGTCCCCCAAACCTTAATCCAATACACAATCATGTATAGGGAACATGATATCCCTCATTGTTTTTCATTCTTAAGGCCTTTGCCCCGCAAATGTACAAATTAAGTTTAGTTATCAAGAACAGAAAAGGTAACACTATCCTAGCTTCAGATCTAGGGACTCATTTCTTGTAGTTGATTAAGCTCCAAAGTCTCATACAAAATGATAAAAAAATATAACTCCTACTACATATATATAGCTGAAACACCTTTCTAGAATGGAAGAGAAGAAATAAAAGCATTAAGATCCAGCAAAAGGCTTACATTGTACAAGTCATCTAGAGATCTCCATCCAGTTGAAACACCAAGCTCATTTCCCAGAATTCGATGATAGTATGCGTCAATTTCATCGAAGTAGTCATCAAACCGAAAGAGGCCTCTAATGGGATACAACTCAGCGTTCTCAATAACATCTCTGAGTGCTTGAGGGCCTAAGTGCATTAGCACCTGTAACACAGGTTAACAATGCATCAGGCTCTTAAGATCTTCAACGATCACTACAGGTGAATTTTATTTTTCGACATAGGTTCCAAATGTCCAATGTGATATCAAGGTCAACTAACAAACCATGCAATAGGAGTAAAGAGGCTTGTGAAAAAATTGGGTATTCATGTAAATAATCTTTGACATAAGCTTTGGAACTGGAACCCTGTTGTGCTAAGAGAGAAACAAGAGAGATAGATAGAGAGAGAGAGACAGGGGAAAAGCATGATTTAGCTTATGTGTAGAAGAAAAGGTAAAGGCTCCATAGGGAAGAAGGGAAGGTGGAGGTGTAGGTGAGGCAAGTGGAATTTGTTGACAGGGGTAATGTGGAAAATACCATGTTCATGGGAGCACACTTTCTATGTCCACACATAGATAATTATTTATGTCCCCCCTCTCGCAGCCACCCAATTGGAATGGATGACTGGGATAGCTTGTCAAGTGTAATTTTTTTTATTATTAATTTTTTATAGATTATCTTGACATAAAATTTGGGGCATGTCCTATTCTAGTAGGGGAGTACCTAAAAAGTATAAAAAATATTTCTGATAAAAAAACATAACCAAAATTACCCCTACAACTTGCAAAGATATCTAGGTCATTTTATTTTATCACAAACATTTCTTTTATATTTTTAAGGATGCCTCTAGGAGAATAGGGGACACCACAAATTTCATGTCAATATGATCTAAAAAATTAATTAAAAATAAAATACCATGAGCCATCCGATCAAGATCAAATGGTCAAAGGCTAACTTGCGACATTAAGACTAAAGCTCTCCCAACTATCCATTTAGATTGGACGGCTGGGAGAGGAGGGACATATATAATTTATATAAGAGAGACCACATATGATAGGGTTTCTCTATTCATGGATAAAGTGTTCTGGGATGTTGATGACAACTTACAGGTGAGGGCAACACGGAAATAATCGATGGTGTGAGGAGTGATAATGGAAATGGAGAAAATGAGGCAAAAAGGATGTTAGATCATAGATGATAGATGGTATCTATGGAATAAAGAATGTCAAAGAAAGTTCTAGTGCAATTGAATATAGTTAATGGCATTAGATAACAATAAAACGAGATGAGAAAGCAGAAAACTAAATATTGGAAAGTCATTGCTAAGGAGGTGGAGGATGTATCCTTGGTCGGGAAAGTATGGTGCTTCTCAGGGGAGAAACAAAAGAGATATTCTGGGAAAGTACAAGGACATTGTAGCAAAGGATTAGGGTAAGATATCACAAGAAAATTAGGGTTATGAGACTGCATAGTAGGAGACACAACCAACATAGTGCACAGATTGGAAAACATTCAAAATCCAATGATTATACTTAAAAAGGGTGTGGTTTTTTTAAGGAATCAATCTTAGACAATCAAATAAGGCAGACCTCAAAACCCTGCTAGAAGATGTATTACAGTGCCGGAAAGCCCTACAATGGACTGAAAATCTATTTCCACACCTAATTATGAATCTTTTTTTTTAATCTAACCTAAGTATGAATTTTAAAGCTCTAAAAATGGCGCATCGAGTGGATATATGAAAGCTAACCTTGAAAATGGACGGTTCCAATAATGTGTTACAAGTGCATTATTTTTAGATTTGAAATTCTTTTTTTTCATATCCATACATCTTGACTTCAAGATGATCAAATGGAGGGTTTTCCAGCGCCGAAACAACCTTTTCCAATGGGTTTTCGAGGAGCACCTTACTTTAATAGTATGAGGTTGACGCCTTACATAAACTTTTTCCAAGATTCTCAATATAACATATAATAGTAAAGTCGAACCTCATTTGCATCCTTGCAAACCTCGATTTCATTTTTCTTTGGCCAGCTGACCCGCCAACACCTATCAAAGCCATTAAGTATAGTAAATATTGATTTTGTTTGGGTTAATATAATAAACATCAATTCAAATAACAAGGACTCCACCTTTAAAGAGGCAAACCAATGGTAAATCGAGGGAAATAAAAACAAATATATATCATCAAATCTAAAAAGAATATGAATCAGGACCTTTCTCTACCGACACGCCGTGCAAGCTCTTCAGCTAAAGACTGGCCTGGCACATCAGCATCAGTGGCTAGGATTATACGAGATGCCTGACAAATATCACATATTAGTGAATAGAGTTCAGAAAATTATATGGCTTGTCATGACTACAAGTTGTTTCATAGTATGGACACGAATAATAACAAGTACCTTTTGGAAATACTCCTTGTATTTCCACAAAAATTGGTATTTTGTATCCTAGCTTCACAGAAACACTATAGAAAAGTTAGTATCAACAAAACCCATATGCTAAAAGCTACATACGGTATTAAGTTATTGTCCCGATATGTGAAAGGGACAAGCTAAAAGTAAGTCTCTAATAAAACTGATTTATACAACTTGTTTAACCTTTAGCGAAAGCATCATTCATCATAAAAGTCATCACATAACATCATCACTGAACACCTAATAGATACTTCGTGATATGAATGCATGCAGTACTTGAAAATATGCACATGTCAAAACAAATTTGAACAGCATCAAAGAATGTCTAAGCACTCCTAGAACTCTAACTTGATCTTACATTAAGAAAGAGGCACATTCATTTATCTAAATGAATGACACATGCTGAAGATTCATTCATGACTGTGTTTTTATATTTTAAGATCTCAAATCATCCATATGCTGGCACCTTGAAAATGATAAGTTTTTTTTTTTTAAACATTGAAAATGTTAAATAATTTTTTATAAAATTTTAAAAATCCATAAAACTACTACGTGCATGTTATGAAATTGGGGATACATATCAAGCAATGTTCAAGAATTTTCTTCCTCACTTGCAAAACGAAGTCAATTTGCCAAGTCAACTGTTAACATACCTAATTTATGTTGAATGACTTTAAAAAACAAACAGTCTGCAATAGGACTTGAACCCAGTTCGCCAGCTATTTCATAATACGTTCACATTGCTACCACATTGGGAAAAAGCACATTGTTTGTCAAATCAACATGAAAAATATATAATACATCCTGACCTTTCATTTATAGAAGTTGCTCACTTGGAATGTCCATTACACTCATATGATATGAGTTCGAATTCACTGCGATCAACGTCATCTAGTCTTTTGCTATGCACACATTATTCACAACTAGGAACGTTTGTAGAGTACATGCATCCATTGAAGTCTTGGGGGTTTGCTTACAGCCAAACTCTTAATGTTTCCACATACTTGTTTCCATAAAAGTTTATAGTTAATGCGATCATAACCATTTTTACTGCAGAAAAGTAAAACTGAGAATCAAAGTAGCAAAAGGCTTCATTGACAAATTGTGATGAGCATGTGTCATATTGCACATACCACAACTCATCAATAAATGCTCCAAGTCCTAGAGATCGATAATATTCAAACTAACTCATTTCCAAATCAATTAGAAGTTATCTATATGGAAATCCCCATGCTTAAAGATCAATTTCCTCTTTCCAAATAGAAGATTTTAATAACTCAAATTTACTCCCTCCCCCTAAAACCTACAATCCACAAAAAAATAGCAAAATGAATATTTGCATAACAAAATTGCCAACTTGATAAATATTAATTAGAGCAGATTGAAACCTTTTCTATAGGTGGCAACTCTTTCTCTGAGACCTTAGCAGGGGCACCATCAGGGACACTCACACAGTTCAGGTAACCAACTTCTTCCATGGATAGTTTATCCATTTCGCCCTCAACCTGTGTAAAATTTGCAGACAATCAGAAATCTAGAAGTAAATGCACAAATTCCATTCATAAGCAATGGCAGGAGATATTACAATGATAATATCACTTGCATTCTTTATATCATCTAGTCCATACAACACTCTCTCCGTATCCCTTTCCTGAAAAGAAATATAGCAGTTTCAGCATGAATACCATAGAAAGGACCAAACAAAAATATGTAATCCAAGACATTAAAATACAACCATAACATAACAAGACAATTAAAGTTCTGGTCAGTACACTAAACAAGGTATATGCAAAACGATTTGGCATTTGGGATAGGATTTGGCATTTGGGACAGGATTTGGCATTTGGGACAATTATGTGAGGGAGAAACTATCCAAATTTGTGGAGATTGGAAGGAATTTTCCCAAATATTTTTTGGCCTGCTTCCAAGTTTCTATGTTATCAATTTTCCCACATAACAATGAAAACTATTGGGATCGGTTCACAGACAGTTTAGCCAACATGGGTCAAACTAGGGATTGCACGGGACCTCGAACTCCATGACATCATAGACATTTTAAGAGACACTTGGCATTTGAGTACTCAGCTTGGCTATGGGACAGGCCAGCCCCAGTTACTAGGATGAGTCCAAGTCGACTCGCCCGAGTCCGCAGAGCAGCCTAATAACATCCAAAAAATAAAGAAAAAAACCTAAAAAAGAAAAAGGAAAAATGATAGAACAACAGAAAAAAATTATGACAGAGAAGAAAATTTTCAAAAGTACAAAATATAAAACTGGTTAAAAATCACACTTTAAAAGAAGGGAAATTACAAAAAATAAAAAATACAAAAATATAAAATATAAAAAACTATAAAAGAAAGACAACCATAAAAAAATATAAACAAAACTAAATATAAGTCAGTTATAAATCAAAAGATCGAATCACTTTTAAATAAATAAATTTATTATATAATCATAAATTTATTATATATTGATCATAGACCCCTTGAGTTTTGGGGGACTTTGCCAAGCCTGATAAATGCGAGAGAGTCCTAGTAGACTTGCTTGAGTAGTCAAACACAGGTCATACTCTTTCACTCATCTTTATTACCCACTATTTCGCTTATAGAAAAGAGGTCCTTCTGTAACTTCACCCACCATCTAATTTCAAACATTAACAATTTCAACACAACCTGAAAAAAATTTTTCTCAATGTCACGGTATTTGCAGTTGACAATCCTACCATCCCTTCTATAGGGAAACGCAATCACATTCTGCAAAGAAATAGAAGGAAATGATCAGTAAATTAGAGATATAAATAAGAAATTCCCGTGATCACAACCATTCAAAGGCCAAACCTGATCGCTCATTTTACGCTGCATGACCCCATTTCTTCTCAAGGTTTCTGGTGATATCATCCGCTCAGAGAAGTACGCAAGTATCTATCAACAAGGTAAATACAGGCAAAAAATTATTTCACTAACAAAAAAATAGGCAGACAAATGCACACCAGTTGTCTTTCTTTCTTCCTTTATTCCAATATTAGAACACTTACACATGAAAACAAAACATATTCTAATTTTCAAGTGATACCCAAACTTAGTATTTGTATCATTGATCTTCAACTCAAGCTCAAGCAAAACAACAAAAATATAAATGGTTTTTGTGTAATGAATATCTAAAGAAAAGCAACTTAGGTGATTTTTAATTTTTACAGTTGTGAATGATACCATCATCTTAGGGATAGCCTCCATCATGAAGGATTCAATGTTGAAAATCTTAAATGTTTCTGAGAGCCATGTAGAACCACTCATGAAAAACTAAAGGTGGCGCACATGAGAACAACAATACCCCCCCCCCCCCAACCACACACACACGGCCCTTTACAGGCTGATATTCAAAGATAAAATGGTATATCACCACCATTGGAGGTGCTTTATCCCAAGCATTCATGATTCATGAACATAATGATGGGATTCTACCTCTTCCCTAATACCACTCAATACATGGCAGATTAGAATGTAAAATTTACTTGCTCCATGTTAGTTTGGCTACTATAGATTCATCAGTAAGCTTGGATTAGAATGGTAATAAGTGAGATGAAATCAAAGTGTTCAATTATGATGTGTGTGGATGATAGCAAACATTGCAATCATACACTTACACACATAAAAGCATACATAGCAATAGAATACTACATTTATCCACATAAAATATTAATGGACCTCGAAAGAAACTCATTTTAAGATAAACAAAATCAAGGTTATCCTCAAAACTTAATTGTCATAGATTGGCAACTATACCTCAGGACACAAAGGTTCCAGCCCAAGGCTCTTTTCCGTTAGCACCCTGGAGGGTTTCTTTTTGGAGTTCAAATCTCCGTTGATTTGTTTCTTTTCATTTCTTTCAGCTGGAGCATATGATGCATTAGAAGAGGCCTACAAATTATTCAACGAAGTGAGTATTATCAAAAAAAAACTATTTTACAGCCAAGAAATCTGGCTATATTACAAGAAAATAATTGAGAGCCACAATTCAAGTACAGAAAAAAAACAAAAACATTACTTACTTGTATGTGACCCCTCCATCCACATTTACCTCTAAAACAAGTCCATAAAGCCATAGATCTGTAGTATACAAATAATAATTAGACATGAACATAATTCTCTTAATGACTGAGGAAATTGATATTGAAATTTAGCATTTGTAACTGAGAAAAAAAAAATGGACAAAGAAATAGAAACATATCAACACACCCATCTTCACGAATGAAAAGAGAAAAGCTTCTTTCCCTCGTGGACCCACCTTCACACTGTGAAAAAAAAAAGTCTCAAACGTTTAAAGGACAGCTTTTTAAAAAGTTTTTATCAAAAGATAAAATTCACAATGATAATAGAAAAACAAGGAACTATTCTGTTAGCATTATAAACAAGTTACAAAACAACAGAGAGATAAAGCACTAAATACCTGCCCAGACAAAGACTTAAAGTACTAAGCAACAAATATGCACATACATGTGTTCTTCATGACTAGAAACTGAAATGGACGGTGAAAGGAAATTAAGGGAGAAAGAATTTCAGTTACCTTTGGGCATAACATATTAGAGTATTGACCAGGAGTACATGAGTCACAAATTATCCCTTCATTTTTAAGCTTCTCTCTCAGTAAGGATAGTCGCTCAGGTACAACATTATCCACTTCCTGTCGTTCCACATGAACTGATACACAAAATTCCAGTAAAAACAGCTATCAAATTACAGAAGAAAAAAACGAACAAGGAAAAAATGATCAATTTGGGTCCCAAAAATTTGCGATTTCGCATAATTTGCAATGAAAGTAGCGCTACATCTCAAGATCAATTCCTAAGCGACCTTGTCAAAAAAAAGAAAAAAGACCAAAAACGATCGGTTTGGGTCCCAAATCATTCATCAATGCAAACAATTGAAACGGAGTTAGTGAAACCCAAACAACACAGGCAAACAAATAACAATAAGAAAACCAAACCCAATCAATTTGGGTCCCCAAAAAATGCACCTTTTTGTCATTTATCAATGCAACAAAGGGGAAAGAATTAGGGGAAATTAAAAAACAAAACAATAAGCAAAACGAACAGCAATTATTAACCAAAAAAAGTCATTTTCGGGTATTAAAAAAATGGAATTTTAGTTGATTATCAATTTCAACAAGACGGGAAAAGACTAACCATACCTGCTCTTTTGATCATTACAGGCCTTAATGAAGCAAGTCTGGGCCTTTTCAGGGAAACAAGACGCAAAGTGGATATGGGTTTTGTTGGGTTTCCAAAGAGAAGCCCAGCAGATGAACCTGTGTGCAATGGGCGGATTAGACAGAAAAAGAGAAGACGGGAAGACCCTGGAGAAACCTGTGGGTTACTGAGGAAATGCTTGCTGCCCATTGCTGCAACAACGGAAACTCTACGAGAGAGAAGCATTTAGAGAGAGAAAGAGAGAGAGAGAGAGAGAGAGATTAGGTTTGCGTTTTGGATGTTGTCTAAAACAGAGCTTGGGTTAGCCCCACATTTTGGGCTGCAGATTAAATTTGAGGTTTAAGAAATAGGGTTTTGGCGGGGATACTACAAAGCAAGCAAAATTATGAAAGCCGAAATATTTTCCTTCGAGCTTTCAACTTCCCAAAATAAATCTCACCTTTCCTAAAATTTATGCTTGCAAGTCCAACCCCAAAAATTTTGAAATATCAGTAGAGAAATAATCCTATGGGAACTTCTCCCACCCATGTGTATACAAGCCGAAGATCTCCCACTTATCTCCCACTCATGTGCAGTATGGAAAGGATCACCATTAAATTTGATACAGATTTATAAAAAAATCAAGTATTTATAAAAAAATCAAATTCTATATCTTTGTAATAACTTTTTTAGAGATTTGTATCAACTTAATGATGATCCTTTTAGGTTCTATATACATAAGTGGAGAAATGTCATATAGGATCATTACTCTCCTGAAAAATAAAAATATGAGTAATTATCCTATGATATTCTCCCACATTTATGTATGTAGGACCCAAATGATCACCATTAAATTTGGTATAGATCTCTAGAAAAGCCAAATCCTACACTCCTGTGATAACTTTTCTAAAAATCTGTATCAAATTTAATAGTAATCTTTTGGGGTCCTACATACATAGGTGTGGGAGGGCCTCATAGGATCATTACTCATTAATTATATAAATAATCATAATTGTAATTGATATTACAACTGTGTTATATACATATATAATTATATTTTAATAAGTATAATATTACAATTATTTGTTTCATGTATATATCCTTATTTTCTAAGGGATTGTTTAGTATTACAAGCCATGGTGGTGTTTTCTTTATTATAATTATGATAGGATTTTAAAATTATAAAAAATTAAGTGAAATATTGATAATCTACAATATTATGTTCATAATTATGTAAATTTGTATATAATTATCCATTTTTTATAATATAACTAATCAATAATAATTAATCTATGCAAATTAATATATTTGTTATATTAAGTGTTATTATTCATTGATAATAACTAACTTAAGAAGTAAATGTACTTATCATTTAATTAATTGTAATTATAATAATATCCTCCATACGTATTTGTCCTCATTTAGTATAGCATTCCTCATGCTCAACTATAGCATTCACCATTAAATGTCTATTGCCGATTTTTTATGTCCTACCAAATCTCTAAGTTAGTGAAACTTATGAATCTCCCCTCATGAGTGAGAAATCATTGTTTCTTATTTTATATAAAATTTAGTTTAATATTTTTAGTATATTCTATATTTCCATGACTTAAATTTTATAAATTTATTTTCCTAAAAAATATCATTAACATAAATATTACATTATGCACGATGTTTAAATAACACCTACAATGCAGATGCATGCTACTAGTGTAAATTATGGAGTAATTTACACACAACACCCCTCCAAATTTCCAGTATTTAAAACATGAGGAAATTATGGAAGGGAAAGTAGCTTATATGGCCGAGGACGCACCTCAACATTACCTCTCCTGAAGTATAAACCATCTATATGTAGATGGATGTAAGTGATTTGTCTCTTAAGAAAAAAAAAAAAAGTTGAAACCAATAACTCTAAAATTATTATTTTTAGTTTTAAAATTCCTCTTTTACACATTAATGATCTTAGGGATCATATATTCCTAAAAAACCAGAGTCAAATTTTATTTTAAACATTAATTATTTAGGGGAGTTGCATTTCTACATAATAGTGTAGAGACTCTGTGTCTGAATGCAATTTTTATAACACTGCTTTACCCATTGAAGTTGGGTTGTAGCCATCAGCACCATCCATTTACTTGGACAGTACAGATTTTGCACAATTCCTAATTTTAGAAACCCAAGTTTATGGTGACCAATTCCGTCTTTTTTTCTTTCAAATATCTATATTATGGAAATCCCTCACTTTTTCTTCTTTTTTTTTGATAAGCGTAGGAGAGTTTTGTTGCTTAAACCTGCTTACAAATGGATTACAAATGATAGAAAATAAAAGCAGTTTATTGAAGATATAATGTTGGGTTTATGTGGCCTTTAAAGGCCTTATGAGTGTGTAATGAAAAACATTTATTAAAATGGAACATAAACTCAGTGGGAGTATGGTCCCTTATGGACCATACTAAACAAATGATGTTTGTTGATACCAGAATGTACTTGACGATCTAGACCAGTCGGGTGGAAAACCCAAGGTACCTGGGCATAGAGAATAAACCGATGAGGGTTTTGGGTTATCCCTTTATGAGGTCGGAGCTTATGTCTGAATGAGTGAGTCGAGGAACTGTGTGACCCTTGTGTGTGATTATAGGCCTATAGAGACCGAGGCCAAAACATCATCTATGATCCATCACACGACATGTGTATCGGTAGATCATTCGGGAAAGCTAGATATCCACCTTTGGGTGAAGCGTATGCAAGTGCGAGATATACCCCTATGCATCATAGAGTTGTGGTCGCATCAGGTCTTGGTGACCTTGACTCGTCTCTAGGGGAGGACCTGTAATCTACAGACTAGGATTGCGTCCCTTTGGCTCATCCGCCAGACTTTGGTGACCCGTTAATGAGCCTCTGCTTGGATTGTGGATCATAAGAAATACTGAGTCGGTTCGATAAAGCAAGTGTGGTATGTAGTTCACAATTGAAAGTGGAGTACCCCATTATTACAGCTTGAATTCCGAAACCATATGGATCCATTTCCCATCAAATTAATTTAATTGTATTCATTTTATTATAAAAACTATTTTAGATTGATTATTTGATTTTTTTATGAATCTTTTAATATTTTATATATGATTTTTTGACTTATAAAAATGAAATAATTGATTTTACAAAGTTATAAAATTCAAATAATGCTTTAAAATTATTTTGTAAAATCTCATGGGGGCCCATAGTGCACATGGGCCCACCATGTGACAAGTGGGTAGGGCCCACATGTGCCACATATGGGTGGCATGCCCCAACCCCTTGCATGTTTCCTTCTCATTGATTTGAAATCAAGAAATCTCTTTTTGGTACATATATCTTGATGCACGTGGTCAAATTGAAATATGGTATATTTTGACCATATCTTATCTAATTGAGATAGTAAATATTAACTTCATATCGTTTGAAATATTATTATGGAATATATGAGATGGATTATGCAATTTTATGGAATGCATGATATTTTAATAGATTTAATTTATTTAAATATATTAATGGGAAAATGATGGATACTAGTCCATGCACCTTCCATAATGTTGATGGCTCGTTTATGGAATGGATGGCTCAGATCTCTCACTCTACAAGTCACCCTGATCAACGGTCCACACTTAATCTCAAGAAAGAGGCAAACTGTAAGAAACCCTAAACCTAACTTTGTACTATAAATAGAGGTATACCCTTCCCTATTCTCTATACCTTATCTCTCCCACAACTCTCTCTCACCTCTCTCCTCAAGCTCTTTCTATCTCCTAAGACCCATAGGGGGCACGCCCAACTCTAAGCCTCCTACTCTTTCTCTCTCTTCACCTAAAGATACTAAGGGTTGAGAAATTATAGTTAAGCCTAAATTATTTTTGGGATTAGGGTTTGTAGATATTTAATGGTGCTTACTCAGTTTGACCGAAATTGGCTTTCCCAGTTCGAGATTGAAGTTAAATAGCTGATCCCCCGCCATCGGACGTTGGCGACTCGGTGTGGGGTATAATAAGCCCGATTAAGGTAATCTCTGGCATCTTCTTTTATTTCATGCAAATTTATTTATTTTTTCAAGCGTAGTGTTTAGTTGTATAAATGATATCAAGTAGTTGAGTTTTTTTTTGTTGTTAAGTTGCATTTATTTTGAAATATTTATTGATTGTAATAAGACCATCTGTAAGTGATATTTTTGCCAAAGCAAAAAGGGTGATTAAAAAAAAAAAATTATATTTACCGGCAAAATGTCACATAGGTCATACTTTCATATACTCCCCCTTTTGCCAAGTTATTTGCTCTCTCATTAGCTTATTGATAAACATGTTAAAACACAACTTCTCTATTAAGACAAATATCAAAAAATTCATTCTATGAATCTCTCAAATTCCATGGTTTTACTTCAGTTAACCCAATTAATACCCTTCTCCTTCCACCATTCAATTAAAATCAACATATTTATCTTTCAAAATTTTCAAGCCTTGTAAAAGAGCCAATGTCTCAGCCTTATTAGCAGTGGCTTCCCCATACGAGCATGAGAAAGTATAGCAAATTTGTGCATTTAAGTTTGTGATCAACCCTCCAACTCCTATTGGACTAGGATTTCCAAGTGAACTTCCATCAAAATTCAACTTTACACTTCCTTGGATTGGTGGAACCAAATGACTATACGGCCTAGAATTTGGGACGCTTTGGATAATTAGAGTCTGTAAATTTTGAATCACATCCATCTTCGATATGCCATATCCCTCCTTAGCATTTGAATACCATAACCATAAGTTATGGATTATTCTCTCGTTAACTCTAGACATATCATAACCAATCCCATCAAATGTACAACGATTTCTTTCGACTTAGATTTCCCAAACTACTTGTAACAATCCTAAAATTAAAAAAAAAAAAAAAGGAGAAAAGATGCTTTTAAATAGGTGATGGTCTGTTTGAATATGATGGTCCTT